CATCCGCAACATGTCCTAACTTGGATAATTATGTCGCTGAAGCTTGCGATTCGCCGAGTTTTGCTTAATTTCAAAACCAGACTCTTTGCTCTCATTTTTCTTTATTTTAATCTTAGCTTTACCAACGCAAACTTCAGCTAAAGCCAATTATAAATTTATAAGATGTGCCGAGAGAGCATTTCTTTATATTTCCGTTAGAGAAGACGACATCTCGGGCGCGGAGCTATCTTGCGCGACGATGTCAACGTTGCGCTTGATGCACCGCGCGTCGCGTCCTGTCGCTAGAGATAATCTAGCTACTAGTCAAGGGGGATCATCCTCAATCGTTTTAAAAATATATCTGGGTCATTCGCACGTCGCATCGTGTCTCTCGGATACACGAAAATGACTCCGCGCGCAACAGCTTTATACTAAAAAGTGCATATCAAGGGACTCTTAATAATTCTCTAGTGAGAAATAAATCACTGTCAACGTAATAAATACGTTACGTGTAATTTAAAAAAAAAAAAGCAAGTCAACGTGTAAGCATATTTTACGGCGATAAATTATGGCTCATCGATGTTGAATCTGGACAAACTACGCGTATCAACAGAAGGTATTAGAAGATCATTAAGGTAATGGGTGTATTTATCAAGAATGCAAAAGCAAGTTGTGTTATTATTATGTAATAACTAGACAGGATTTTTAACGCAGATATTTATGCAGACATGTATAAAATATGCAAATTTGCACCACTATGCAAATATGCACAGTATGCATAAGTAAATATACAACATTTTTAGAATGCTTTTTCAGTAAGACAAATTTCTATTTTGATGTCGCTTTCCAATTTGCTTTCTAAAAATTTCTTATGAAATTTCATAAGAATCCGATGTGTTCATAATAATAGTACGTTTACACTTGGGATATTTGGGGGGAGACAGAGGTTGAACAAAGTTACCTAACGTACATTATTAGCCGGCGCATTTATCTATGCAAATTTGGAGAAAGTATGACGATTACGTCATCTCCATATATTATTATCATTATATTATAAGACACAATAAGAAATCGATATACGTATACTCGTGTTACAATTGCTATAATGGCCCGACTAGATATGTATAAATATCATAATCTCTTAAGCCTTATAAATGTTTCTTGGAACATTCCAAAGTGGAATGTTTTGAATGAGCAAAGACGGAAAAAAGAACCGGTCCGGAATACACTAACAGGTTCCTAGAAAAGAGCTCCATGTTGCTCCACGCGAAAAAAATGGGCGTAGCGGCGCCCAAGATCGAGAGGAGCCTTATGGGCAAGCGTGGTACATGACTATTGTGCGTAAGCTCCCATTATAACGCGGTAAGCTATGCATTATACTACGGCGATAGCCCGGATCGAGAAGCCGTGTCAGCCTGTCTCCACGGCGTGCCGGGTCGCGTTCCGTATAGAGAAAAGGGGGCTCGGGTGGCGATCTCCGGGGCCTATTTATATTACGCTACCAGTCAGAGAAAGAGAGAGAAAGAGAGAGAGAGAGAGAGTGCGAGTCGAGACAGAGAAAGAGAGAAAAGGGGGAAAGAGCAACCGGCGCGAGCTACAGCAAAAACAACAAAGGGGCGCAAGAGACGGCTACTTGGCGAATCTAGTTACCGAGAAAGGCGAGGCTCGCGATGCTTCAAACTGCGACAGAGGAGAACGCGACAAAGCACGAGAGATCCTCGTGTCTCTCACCTCTTCGCTTTTTTCTTTCCAAAAGAACTGGGAGACTCGAATATCTTTCAGGCTATAATTCTATGAGAAGTGTGGTTTCCTCATTATATAATGTTGAATTAATTTCCCATTCATTGAATCAATGCCTTTGTATATTTTATAAAATAAAGTAAATCCTTACTCTTTTATGAAATTAATTTCATTTCATGAATAATAATCGAACTGATTATTTTACGCAATTGCCTATCATTAATTTATCGAAAATAATTAAAAAAATACAAAAAAAAAGAAAAAAAAGAAAAAGTCTCTCCCAGGCTATAATTCTGTAAATGTGAAAAACTTGGCTCTTTCATTATATAATGTTAAATTAATTTTCCATTCATTGAATCGCGATTCTCTTTGTGTTTTATAAAATAAAGTAAATCCTTACTCTTTTACGAAATTAATTTCATTTCATAAATAATAACCGCTCTGGTTATTTTACACACAATTGCCTATTACTAATTCATTGCCTAATGATTACCATAAAATGGACGTTTAATTTATACGATAATAAATAATAATTATCACGAGAGATTTAAGATTCATGTATATTGCATTAATATAATAGAAAACGGGGAGTGTGATCCGAGCAGAGATTTAGTTTCCTCGAGTGTGCACAAAGGTCGCTTCGCCCCATCCCGAATGCGTTTATGGCATGCGAATAATTATGGCACAGATGCCTTGACAGAAATTTTATTGCGACGCAATATCAATATCCTAGAGATTCCGGGGCTCCGCGAGCTAGAACAGCCGCACGTTCCGGTCCGTTCTCTGCTAAGCACTCCCATTACGGTTGCATATTTAACATGCGCTGTCGCATAAATGCACGTTACGGATAGCTGCGCGTATTACAATAAGCAATTAACGAGCGATATCGTGTTCTATAAATTACGAAGCTCGGATGCATCGGCGTAACCGATGCTCGCGTACGCGAAACGCGCGGGTGCACGCGTGTGCACGTGCAGAGTACACACGACGCTTATACGTATACTATATGAACTCGAAATAACGAGCCCACGGAAAAGGGAATAACATGGAAGTGGCGTGCGCGATCCGCTCTCGCATTATCGGCATTCTCCATTATCGTCCTTAATCTTCCGTAATGCGATCCGAATGCGCACATTCGCGATTTCCTTTTTTTTTTTTCCCTGCGCGCTGCCTGGTCATACGTTTTCGATCGTACTTTTTCCTCCGCGTGAAAATACACGATTGCACGACCACGGAATAAAAATGGAAGCGATTCAATCGCGACGGGAACGTTCGGATATTCAATAACCTGACATTCAATATCGTGACGCTGAAGAGCGAGTCGGCCGAGTTACACAGATGTTCCCCAACATATTCGGACGATTCCAGAAATGCTACATTGACTCCAGAGTACTAATTCAATTTGTATGGAATCTTTTCTGGAGATCATAATCGAGGATTAGCCTGCGAGCGAGGCGACAGGGATGCTGCGCGTAAAAGGAGGGGCCCTACAATAAGGGGACGAGGGAAGGGGAGGGGACGCATCTCTGACTCGATGCGTTATATCGTATACACACACACGGAGAGACGAAGTGCATTCTTCGCCAGTACAGCAGGCGTCGGTCGGTGTCACATCGTCAGACTCGTAGGTATGTAGTAGAGGCGAGGTGAGGCGAGCGAATCGGTCGTTACCAACCAGTCAGCCAGCCAGCCAGCCAGCCAGCCAGCAAGCAAGCAAGCAAGCAAGCAGGCGGACGGACGGACGGACGGGGCATAGTATACCACGGACGGGCAGAGGCGAGGGTGCGTCGCCGGGGATATCGATCGCCTCTAAACAAACATGGCTCGTTTTAGTCGAAGGAGTCGACTTCTATCCCGTATAAATCACGGTTATTCCTTCCTGAGCCCGTACATACGGGGTGTCCGTTTTCGTTCGTGTGACACTGCCCCGTCGTCACCGCCGCCGCCGCCGTCACCGTCGCCGTCGCCGTCGCCGCACCGTTCACTTTGACTCGTAACCGAGCGAGCAAGTGTAGAGAGGTGAGACAAGTCATTCCAAGGTTCTCGCGAGCGGAGGAAGTGCTGAGGGAGACGTCGAGTCACGGATGCAACACCATTTTTGCCATCAGGGAAAGGAGTATATTCGTTCTCTTGTTAACACGGACTCATGAGAATAGATTGAAATGCACCGTGCGGCGAATTTGGCTGATAAACACATTATGAAAGCGTTTGCTTGCCGTTTGTATAGTTTCGCGTGTAATTGTTTAATTAGAACGAGAAAGTAAATTACTTCTCTGCAATTTACGCGATATTTTATATTCGAGAAAATAGTCATTGGATATTTTGCTTTTCTGTTAAGCTCGACGTGTTGTATAATGTATAGTATAATAGAATCAATCTCTATTATTTGAATACATTTTATAAAGAGTGGAAAAGAGAAATGTCTATTATAGGATTATCGTAAAAAGAGAGAGAAAGAGACTATGATGACGAATGGCACTTTGAGATAAGCAAATGCACTGCGTAAAATTATCAAGTCGTATATAAATTTCGAATTTTATCGTCGAGTATAAAATTATTTTTATTGATGTCCGCGTGCTCTTTTTTTTTTACACATGAATTGTATTTACGCCTCGGCGATTTGTTAACTCAACCGATTTATCAACTGGCAATCCCTTGAACTGTAAACTGACATTGAAAAATTACTGGCTCTTGATCTTCGCGATAATGTACAAAGAGCGTATTACAACTGAGTGATTACAACGTTTTGTTTTACACGTCCGTGAACGGCGTAAAGTTTCTTTAGCAAGTGCGAAAGATGCATTTCGCCGATTACGATTTCCATAGAAAAGACCCGAAGTATCTTATCGGCTTGACGTTGCAGCTACAAGATTACGCTAATCGACACCTGCACGGGGCAAATAATTATAGAACCGGCGGGGACAACGCTTATTGTTAGTCGTATCGCAACAATGGCTAATCCATACTGCGCCGGTTCACGCGAGAGTCGCTGGCCGGCCGGCGCGGCGGCGGTCGATGCTGTCAGAGAGAGCTTTCGTTCTGGCTTCGTAGCAGCCTGTCGCTCTCTTCGCGAAATCGTCGGTTTGATCGACGCAGACTTGCGGGCAGCCGTGGAATCCTTGAGGCGAAGAGCCGTTTCACGGGGATTCGTTCCGAGTTTAACGAGTATGGTCGCCCTCGCAATGTGTCTGATACGCTACCCGGTATAATCCGGACGTAAAAAGGAGACGACGAAAAGAAGATGGAAGAGAGGGGGGGGGAGGGGATGGAGGCTCTCTTACCTGCGACTGTGAGAGTGGCGTTCCTACTCGGGACGGATCCAGCCTTATTCCGTGCGACGCACCAATATACACCGCCATCCTGCTCCTTCTTGCCGTGCATCACCCGCAGAAAGAACAGAGATCCCGTAGGCAGCAGGACCCGATGTGACTTGGTGTCCCCCGGCGACGTCTGCACGAGCTCACCGTCCTTGTACCACTCTATCACCGGTTCGGGCTTACCCTCCGCCTTGCAGTTCAACGTCACCGGCTCATTTTTCGCGACTATTATGTCGGACGGGTGCTCGGTTATCCGTGGACATTTCAGCTGTCCTGAAAGCAAAAAAAGGAAACGAAGACTCTCTTTAGCGGATCTCTCGACGTGCGGTGTGTCGTGTCGTCTTGGCAATCTAATTAGTTCACCCCTTCAACCGGAGATATTTTCACCGCGACGCGCGCGGCATTGCACATTCTTTCACGTTGAATTATTTCGTCTTAAATAAAAATAAACGTAAACTAAAAATAAAAATAAACAGAGGCGGAAATTACGTTCAATTAATTTGTCGTCTCATAACATTTCGATAACGACTATTGCGTTTACCTGTGAAAAATCTCATTAGAATACTTCTCTATCGAATTAAAGATACTTGTAACTATTCAAAAAGTTATTCAAAATGCATTTCGTCTTCCTACAGTACTTCCATTTTTAAATGCTTTAACGAAACCCTTCTTTCTTTCGTAAAAGACATTCTTTTCAGCGTTATTTTGCGGATAACATTCTCAAATTTTAAGACATATTTTAGAAACTATGGTATCTTTAAGGAATCCTTTAGTATAGAGCTTTTCAATATACACAGAAAAATATCATTCTATTGCTAAGAAAAGCTTTGATTACTCAATTTACTTTCTTCTGTTTAAGTAATGGTTATTTTTAATAAAGAATATTTTCTCTCGATGTGTTGATCTTAAAATATACTTGTTACAAATTTTCGAAAAATGCAGTTTTATGTACTCGAAACAAGAGTCTATTTTCTCTTTTAAAGAATGTTTTAAGATTAACTAAAAAGCGACTTTATAATAATAAGCAAATCGAATTTCTTTTAATTTAACAATTTTATTTAAAGTATAATATTAAACTCACTCTAACGCTTGTGATGAACTTATGATAAATTTATACAAACTTTTTTGAAATACTTGTGAAATAAGTAATTATATTATTACTTGCGCACAGTATGTATTTTTCTGCCATGTATACGGATGCTTCTACAGAATTAAAGCATTTCGCTTAGTTAAAAATGGATTTCGTTGTAAGTAAAAAAATAAACGTAATGGAAACGAAAATTACGTTTCCAATTAATTGCCTTGCAACACTTCGACTATCGCGCTTATCCGTAAAATCTTATTCAAGTGCTTCTGCCAAATTAAAGCATTCTGTTGAAAATAGACTTCGCCTTAATAATAAATGTATAAGTTAAGATCTGTTTACGAAGATATTCATCATTAAGTTATGTTAATCGATATTTGTTGAGAAGGTTTACATAAATTTCCCGTTATTTCCCGCGTCTGATGTGTATTCTCACACCCTCCCGAGACACCACGTATAACACTGAGATCATATAAATTTATTGGCACCTTGCCAATATTAATCTTTCGAAGAGGTTGCCGTCTTGCCAATATTAATATCACGAAGCCGCTGTTTACGTACTCGTGTGCGATCGAACGCTTTTCTTCGCCGCGCGAACGCCATGAATTTTCTTCTTGTTTCTTCGCCGTTGACTATCCTCCTATCTCTCTACTTTCTCAATTTTGTATGGAGCGCCACTGCGCGCAAAGGTGCACCGTGATCTCGTTAATTTTCAAACACCTGGTCGTAAACCAGCTCAGAAACGAAAATTAAATCCGGCTTCAGTCTGCCTTATTTTTAAGCAGCGTCTCGTAAAATTTTCAGTGTTTAATGCTCGTTGTGAATCGCAGGGGAAAGAATTATGCAAAGTTTGTATTTATGTAGTAAAAACTATGTTAATGCAGCCTGTAATTTGCGCCAACGTGATGGCATTAAATTCATGTAAACTCGATTCGACATGTTTACGAGTCACCGCAATTAGCGGCAATATAGAATTGCATTACTAGGAATTAATGCAAATAATGCTGGACGTTTTGCGACGCATATGGAGATCGCATTTCTAGCATTAATTAATTTTAATTCAATTATTCTCGTTTTTATGCGTGAACGAAGGGAGTGATTTATTGATGAATACGATACAACATGTGTTTTCATCAGCGCGGTGTAAACAAATCATAAACCGATTTGCCGCGACACACTGTACACCGCTTTCCGAGTCTCGGCTAATATTACGTAGCATCTCGCTTGGACGTTTTATAAATAACGAACGTACAAATTATGTATATCACAATAACTTAAATAATAATCTCGTGACGTAAAAACGGGAAAAAGAAAGAGATTTATTTTCAATTATATTTATTATATCGCGTATACTGTATTAAATTATACAATATAATTAACTTATTATTATTAAATTATTATATTAGCCAGCTTTAATATTTATTAATTTTTCTACCTTCAAAAGTGATATTTTCAAATGTATTTTATAATCTTGAAATCCCTTCAAAAGCTGCCTCAGGTATACATCACTGTTAAAAAAAAATATTAAAAAAGAGATCAGATTTAAATTCAATCTCTTAAATTAAACAACATTTTGTTATTTATTTTGTTATTCCAAGTATGTCGAAACGTATTATCTCAATACAAAACATATGGTTAAAACACAATCACATCTCTGCGGTTGAATTGCTTAGATTCAAAATAAACAGCGATATTAACACTGCGGGAACAACAAACACACTTGGGTATAATGTACACAACCCAATTCGATTGCTTATAATAACTTTCATAAAAATAAACATATTGTAAACAATTTTTCTTCAATCAAAGCTGAAGACACACATTAAGGAATAATGCCAAAACACATTAAAAAACGACAGTACCAATGAAATGTATCTTCGTAAATAAAAAAAATTATAAATAATGGAAAAGGCATTGGTAAAAAAAGTCGGCGGATATATCATGCCGAAAAGAAATAAAATTGTGTGAAACATTTCTTAAGTTGAATTATTTAACACTCCGTTGTTTTAGTTCAACTAACGACATGTATGAGCGGAAACAATGGCGAACACACTATAGGAATAATTAAAAAGAACTCAGTTTTGGGTATAATTTGACATTACGAATTTAACAGGTGTTGCATTTATAACATCAAATTTTGAGTTATAATCATTTATAATCATTTCTAGATTAGCATTATATTCAATATGTCATTATATGTATAATTGAAACAATGGAATCGAATAAAAAAAAAACGTATTAAATTTCATTATCATAAGTAAATGTGGACGTTGTTTATTTTCAAACAAATCGTAGAAGTGAAATGATTTATAACATTTTGACATAAAAGTGAAAAATATCAAAATGTTATTTGACTCAAGTGATTGGATCACCATTGTTACTTTGATTTGATCTCTAACAGTGTAGGTACATATATATACGGATAAAAAGAATAATAGATTGCTGCATAAATTAACTTGGGAAATAATTAAAGATTTTTTACTGGCCCGTGATAGGATCGCAGCGTTAGTAAAAAGCGCGCAGCGATAGTGTTTCGACAGAGACTCGACAAGCACGCCGCCGCCGTTCAACGGATAGGATAATTCCACGGCAGTTTTTCGCCGTTCGCTCTAACAGCTACCAGAGATCGTCGCGTACATACATAGTCGTGCATCTAGCACGCCTTTGATGCACGCACGCACATGCACGCGCTCATGAACGTGTGTGACGCGACTCGTGTACAGTAGCCATTGCAGCGCGAAAGTCATACGTGTGTATGTGCGGCGCGGGTGTCCTATTTAGATAACTGAATTATGGATGAATTATTGGCCGCCGGTGTATACGTAGTGCAGGTATATAATTTGATAATATCGCCGCCTCTGGCGTCCTATCTCCGTGCCACGAGATTTCGGCTGCGCGCCGTGGTGTATGTCGCTCGCCGAACGTCCATATGCATTATGCGTGCGCGCTCGCTCGCATACGTGTGGCATATAGTACGTGAGCGGCGCGACGCTGCATTGTCGCGTCGCGTCGCGTCGCGTCGCGTCGCGTCGCGTCGGTGTGAGCGCCAGGTATTAGTCATCGATAGTGGCTCGGATTACCTGTGGTTACACGCATTATTAGATAGGCGCACCGTGCTGCTGTCTAGTCAGCGAGCATTCCTCCGTGAAGTGAGTGCCTACACGAGCAGTGTACACGTGTATTAAAAGGCGAAACCGATAATCGAATGACTTTTACGTAAAGAAAATCGATATTTGTGGTATTAGAGCTGAAAAAGGCATTTTTTCGAGCGGTTTTTCTTCGGCGAGACTGAATGTACGGCCAAGTATGATAGTGGTGAATGTGAATGAGATAATTTAAATGCATAAAGAAAAGAAGCGTCAAATACAAATTAAGGCTTGGTACCTGATAATATTTCTATATAAATTTTTAAAAAATATATCTTTTATCGCAAATTGAAAAGCTGAAATAATATATTATTATATTATTTATTTATTATAAAGATAATGTAATTGATATTTTATAGCAACACTGTATGTATAACCGCTCGATTATGTGACATAACAAATCTAAAATTCAACTAATAACGAGTAAATGAGATGTTAAATTAACAATTACTCACGCATATTTGAGATTACAATATAAAAATGGAAATATAAAATTCAATAATTAAGAAATTAACTTTTTGTTTATTATCTTTCAATTACCGAAGTTTTAATTTAATATTATAAATTTAAATATTATGAATAGAGATGAAAAACACGCTCAAGTCTTATTAGTGTAGATAATTATAAAGCGGGAGAATTCTAAAGAGAATCTCCGATGTGTAAAATAATTGAAACTGACTCTTCGCTTTTTTTCGTAAATGCCGCGTTATTAGCAGATCCGATTATTTCCACAAGCACAAAAAAGTGCAGGTGTAATCTCCCAGTCACTAATGTGAGTAAGGAGGAGGGCACAAGAGAAGCAGAAAAGTGACGAAGCAAATTACACGGGTGCACCTATTTATTAGCCGGTTATAAAGGCCATGGACGTTTTCTTTTTTCTTTTTTTTCAGCAATATAGCCTCGTTCGTGTAAGAAATTAAGACCCCATCGAAATCAGAAAGCGTATGGCGCGCGGCAGAAGATGATAAAAAAAAGAAGGCTCGATAACACAAGAGTGGACAAGAGCTCGCTTAACTTCGGTAGAACAAAAAGAGAACTACACA